CTTTTCTTATGGTTTTGAATCTTTATGCAAAATATATTGTGCGGTATTGGTGAGCATGATGGTTTTGCTCACCCCCATTGTTTTTCTGTCCTCTTGTTCCTCTTCCTATCTTTAGGTTGAGCTTGGTTGGTGGCGGCAGCAAAGGACGATCGAGTGGTGGTCATTGGATTGATGTGTCTTTTGCTTCCGCTATTCTTATTATCTATGTTGGATTGCTTGTTTTACATCGGATTATTATGCTTCCGCTTTTATTCATATTGAACATGTTGGTATGACCATTGGATCATGTTAAACTATTGGATTGATTTTGAGACTTATGAATAATCTGGTTTGATTAATATAACTGTTAGTTTGCATTTGTAGGTTATTTATGTTTGTTCTTATTTGTTTATTTATTTTTTGTAGTTAAGTAGCGCCCGTCGTTATTTAAGTTTTTAAATTGGGATTTTGCAAAAAATTAACTCTGATTTTTATAAATAAATTTGGCAAACTCTTTAAAATAAAACGGGGCTTTACAGTATGGTATCATAGCTAGCCTGCGTTTCTGTAGACTATCTCTAGTGTTAGTGTGTAATGACCATTTGACCACTCGCTTTCGTCTCGCCGCGCTAACTCGAGGTATGAGTTGTTGTTTTTGCTTATCTTATTTGGGGTTTAGGACTATCCACGTTGTTATGTTTAGAATTCTAGTGTTTGGATGATGAACTCTAGCAATGATATTTTGTGCTAAACTTGTCGGATTATTCAATGTAAAGTTATGGCTCGATGCAATACTCGCAACAACAGGCAGCCATCCCTGTCTCCGTCCCCGCCACCATCGCCTCGTCAGTAGGATCCTCCCGACCTGAATCGGGACGTTTTTTGAGGCTTATTATTCAATTTCAGGGCATGCATCCGCCTAGCTTCACGGGGGCCGAGAACCCCACTGCAGTGCTGGAGTGGATGAAGGAACTCGATAAGATCTTCACCGTGCTTTCTCTCTCTCAGGCACAACGCATCTAATTGACTGCATTCCAAATGAAGATGGACGCCTCAGATTTGTGGATTGACTATTGGGCCTGTTAGAGGTATGCTGTAAAAGCTTCATTTTGTAGATTCAATCAATTCCATTTGGATCTCGCCATCATGTTTAGGTCAAAGTACATATGCTTGCATTTTATTTATTTATGAAATCATACTCCTTGTCTTACATTGACATAGTGTGGTTCGAAGTGTTTCGAACAGAAAGATCACATATCGGTTCCTTGTAAGACTAAACTATTCGTTCACAGTCTAGACATGCAGTGAGACCCCTCTTGGACAAAGACTGTAGTGTATTCTTTATTCAGTTGGTCTTTGACTGGAGATTTACACTAGCACTTATGATAGGTGTTGAACAGGACCACAGAAGGATAAGATTATGAGACTCACAGATCATTGTTGTAATCTAGACCTTCAGTAATTGATGCGTACTCCTAAGCCGTAAGATAATATAAAATGGGCTTATGTATTCATTACTTATTTATTTGATTTATCAAGGGTGATTCTTATTTTCTAGGATGACATACTCGGTATTTTGGTAAATAAGTATGTTTATATGATGTGCCGTTATAAATTATTTACGGTCACTGTGTCCCAGTGCGTTGGGTTGATGACGTCCTGGAAATGAGCTCAGGAATGAATATTATGTCAAGCCCTGCAGGCGGATGTGTTCAAACATAATGATTAAGGATCTGAGTGGTACTAGTTTCGAAAATGAATAAGAAGTTGATTAATTATTTTGTCAATAATTTAATTAATCAACGGATGTTATATCTTAAACATGAGAAGATAAATCGATCAATTAGATTAAAATATTTAATTAGTGGAGACGAGTTAATTGTAATTCGGAGCGCAATAATATTGCTATAGTGGAATGTTTTATTATTTAATTTCAGGATTAGGAATTAGGAATTAATTATATTCCCTATTTCCCTAAGGATAGGAATATTCCTTCAAGAACATTACCTGGGGTTAGAAGACTATGGAGTCTTCTAGAAGGTAATTAAATATTAGGAATATTATCCTAGATGGGACAAGGAAATGGAAGATAATAAGGATTCCTAAACCTAAAGGAATAAACCCATATTTAGAACCTCCTTTAGGTCCCTATTGTAGCCTATAAATACACTAGGTCCCCTATCCTCTTGCAACATAAGTTCTCGTTTTTCCTCCCCGAAGGGCTGAAATCTTTGGCCCCTACATGTGAGAAAGAAAGAGAGATATTCTTCTTCGAGAGAAACTTCGGTTAGCACCAGAAGGTCTTAGAAGAAGATGATAGAGAGGTTTTGGGAAATCTAATAAATCGCTCCACCAAAATTTATTAGAGATCGTGTAAAGGTCATACAATAGAAGATTCGAAGGTTGTTATTCGTATCCCGTTGAATATATATATGCGTTCATCCCGTCGAATATATTGATCCCCATAGCAACTCCGATGGCCACCAAATCAGGAGAGGAAGTTCACCGGAGTAGCAGAAGACTGCCGACGTAATTCCGGCGACCAGTCACCACCCGACGCGCCGGAGCCGGATGATGAAGGATCGTGTGTTTCGTTCCACTCGCTTGCCTCGAACACAGCATCGCCACGACTCGCTCTCGACGGATAGGTGTGATCGACTCGGTTATAAGCCTAACTCTCTCACGATACTTGAGTTCACTCGGTAATTAGCCTTGCTCCCTCGATTTTGAACTAGCTCGGGTCTTAGCCTCACTAATTCGATGCATGATCGAACTCTCACGAATCCTAGCACACGGATGAACAAACGTTCTTTTCTATTCAACTCATCAATTCTGGGCTCTTCAAAACAATGATGGGATACTCCTATTTATAGGTGCATAAAATAAATCTAAGCCTAAGCTAATTAGATCTACTAATTCTATAATGAAAAGCAACATGGTAATAAAATCCTAATACTACTATAATTATTCTTGCTTGACTTGCACTCCAATCCAAAGTCTTGAGCTCCAAGTCCTCTTGCTTGCACCCTACTCCAAGTTCGACCGACTCCTTGCCCTAGCCGCCCGTGTGTTGCCTTAGTCCTCGAGGACTAGGGCCGCGCCGCCTCTGCCCATGCGTGCATGTCCTCTCGCCTTGAGGTTTAAGGCCTCGCGCCCTGCGTGCGCCATTCCTATTCCTTGTAGGACCATGCTTCGAGCCCATATCCACTATTCCTATTCCTACTAGGAATATTCTCCCAGTTACGTTTTCTGATCTTCCGAGGATTACTCCCGTCACCGATCTTTCACGCGCGTTCCGGCACTCAGCTGCTTTTCCTATTCCTGCGGGGTTTAGTATTCGCGCGTTGCCTATTCCTACGAGGATTAGGCTTGCCGCCCTGGTCTTGACTTGAGCCTTGCGCGTGTCGCCCGGCGCCCCTACGCTCTGCTTGCCTATCGCACGCCATGCGCGCCATCGCCCAGCGCTGCCTCGCCCAACGTCCATCACTCGCTCGTCCCACCGCAATAATACCTCGTGTGCATCAACCACCCAACATCCACCCCCTGCGTGCCACTTCGCCTAATCTCCAAGCGCCATCCGCGTCTACGCCAGTGCACGTGTGCGCGCCCTTGCTTAATGCACCTCTCCGTGCGTGTGGGTGTTGCTAGCCTTGAGACCATCTTCTTGCTTGCCCTCGCCCACCTCCATGCGCGACCCTCATTAGCCGATTTGTGCACTCGTGCATCACGTCCATGCACTCCTCGATCCAAGCCCGTCTGCATACGCGCTCGTACCTGTCTTTTAGGCCATGCATGCGTGGTTTTGGCCCTTTTCTC